AAATATTACACAGTTCAAACATTTTTGGCACTGTACACCAACACAATGGATTTGAAATGAGGCAAACAAGATGTGCTTTAACTGCAGACTGTCAGCTTTAGGGTATGTACATCTAAATCAGGTAAATGTTGTAGGAATTGCAACAGTTTGCATATGTGCATCCCACTTGTTAAGGGTCCAAAAGTAACAGGTGGAGGAGTTCAAGTATCTTGGGGTTTTGTTCATGGGTGAGGGAACGTGAGATTGACAAACGGATTGGTGCAGCGGCAGCAGTAATGCGGTTGACGTATTGCTCCGTTGTGGTAAAGCAGGAGTTGAGTCGAAAGGCAAAGCTCTCGATTTACCAATCAATCTACGTTTCTACTCTCACCTATGGTCATGAGCTTTGGGTCACGACCGAAAGGTCAAGATCTCGGATACAAGTGGCTGAAAGGAGTTTCCTTTCAGGGTGGCAGGGCACACCCTTATGGATAGGGTGCGGAGCTCTGTAACACGGGAGGATCTTGGAGTAGAGCCGCTGCTCCTCCACATCAAGAGAAGTCAGCTGAGGTGGCTTGGGAATGGGAGGTGTTTCAGGCATGTCCCACCGGGAGGAGGCCTCTGGAAAGACCCAGGACTTGTTGGAGGGACTATGTCTCTCAGCTAGCCTGGAAACAACTCAGGATCCCCACCGGAGAAGCTGGAGGAAGTGTCTGGAGAGAGAGGGAAGTCTTGGGTTCTCTCCAAAAACTGCTGCGACTAGCCCCCGGAAAAGTGGATGAAAATGAATGAATAAACAAAAATTAAGTTGCCCACAAAAAATCTCTAGAATTTTGTTGTCTTCACTCAATTTAAATAGATAGTTTGAGCAAGCAGCAAAACATGTTTTGAGTAATATAGCCATTTCACATATTTAAATAGGCGGCACGGTGGCGCAGTAGGTAGTGCTGTTGCCTCACAGCAAGAAGGTCGCTGGTTCGAGCCTCGGCTGGGTCAGTTGGCGTTTCTGTGTCTACTGTCCAAAGTGTATAAGTGTGAATGTGTGTATGGATGTTTCCCAAAGATGGGTAGCAACTAGAAGGGCATCGGCTGCATAAAATGTGCTGGATAAGTTGGCGGTTCATTCCGCTGTGGCGACCCCGGATTAATAAAGGGACTAAGCCGACAAGAAAATGAATGAATGAATATATTAAAATGTTTTTTTTTAAAGCCAAGCTTCAATCATGAAACTTACATTTTGAAAAAAAAAGATTTCTGTTGCCAACACAAAGCTTTCCCAGAACTCCGAATGTAGGACACAAGCTGTCCTGTATGGACTATATTTTTATGGTGTTTTGTTGTCCTTTCACTGCAATAAATCATGATACACTTTCTCTATGTGGTAAACAGAAGCTTTGACATTCTGCCAAACTAAAAAATAATGCATTTGTTTTGAACAAATCATTTATAAGTGAAACAACAGAGAATTTCTAGATAGAAAGCTCTCTAAGGATGAGCAGATTGGTTTGAATGCTCGTTTTAGATTGCCGTTAATTCATTTTATTTATGCAGCAAAAGCAAAGGTTGAGGAAATGAAGTACTGTTGATAATCTGCACAGATTTCGAATAAATCACATGGTGTAAGAGGTGCTGTAATCTTTATCAGCAACCTTCATGAGGGTGTTTCATAAGTAAATGGTTCCTGTAAGTATTGTTATCTAATAGACCCAAATGGAATCTGTGCATGCAAATATATACAGTTAAATCTAAATTATTGGCCCTCCTCTGATTTTTTTCTTTTCTTTTTAAAATATTTTCCAGATGATGTTTAACAGATTCAAGAATTTTTCACAGTATTTCCTCTAATATTTTTATTCTAGAGAAAATTTTGTTTGTTTTATTTTGGCTAGAATAAAAGCAGTTTTATTTTCTTTCAAACCCATTTAAGTTCAATATTATTTGGACCCCTTAAGCTATATTTTTTTCTGATTTTTGTCTACAGAACATCATTATACAATAACTTGCCTAAGTACCCTAACTTGCTTCATTATCCTAGTTAAGCCTTTAAATGTCACTTAAGGCTGAATTCTAGAATTTTGTGTTCTGTTATGTTTAGAAATGTGTTGAAAAAAAAAAAACTACTTTCCGTTAAATAAACTTAAAAAAAAAAAAAAAAAAAAAAAAAAATATATATATATATATATATATATATATATATATATATATATATATATATATATATATATATATACACAAGGGGCTGATAATTCTGACTTCAACAGCATTCATTCAGTTTCTATATTTATTTCAGTAATATTATTAACATTCAAATGTTTATATAATTCATTAACAATAAAGTTTCCAAGGTAATATTTTATGTCTCTCAATATATATATATATATATATTAAATGAGAGACTTGCTTTGTTTACCAAATTTGCATTGTAAACATTATTTTTAATTTATTAAAACATTATTATTATTTATTTTTGTTTTTGCTAGTATACTCCCAAAATCCACATAAACAAATCTTGCTACAATCCAACTTGCTCTTTAAGATCTCAAAACTTCTGGTAGCAAAGTCTACTAAAGGAGGCCGAGCCTTCTCATTTATGGCTCCTAAACTCTGGAATAGCCTTTCTGATAATGTCCGAGGCTCAGACGCGAGGCGGGTGTGTGGGCCTCCTGTAGGACACCTTCCTCCTGTCTTAATGAACCAGACATTTTGTCACAGGCTTTATGTTTGTTTCTATGTTGGTTATATAGCTGCTATTTTAATTTATAGCACTTCATTTTCGCATTGACCTTTAATATCTCCTGTTCAAATATGAACAGCAGCTACGCTAATTATTTTCATTTCCATTTCGACCTGGGGATGCCCATAACAAGGCCTCTAGAGACTGTGCAGCGGCATTGATGGGATCCAAGACCTGTAAAAAGATGATGTAAACCATCGAGGACTTTAAGGACAACACATACACTTAATAGATAAATATACTTCTTTAAAGATGTACACATAGACATCACCTATATGCTGAAAAATTAAGGTTAATTGTGTATATAATAACTTATATTTGATTGCAACTTTAACTTAATTTGTTTGTAATGCAATGTGCACCTTTAGTTGAACAAAAATTATTGTAAAAAGCGCCTTACATATAATCTTGAATTGAAAATTTAATACAAGCTTGGAATATATATACTGTATTATTCCAATATAAAGGAAGACACTGTGCTTTTTAGTTGTTTTTGGAGCTCGACATCATAAATAACTACCCATACTGTATGGGAAAGAGAAGCTAATTTTCAAAGAAGAACGAAAATAACAGTGTTAGAATGACATGGGAGTGTTAATGATGGTAATTCTCCACAGAGCTGTGACAGGGGGGGGAAATCAATTAAGCTGGGAGCAAAAAGTCACGTTTTTATGCAATCCCCATGTATTTTTCATCCTACGTCCTAAGCGAAAAGGTTTTGTTTATAGACTGTAAAACCCGACAGTCAACTATATCAAATAAAGTGAGTGTAGTTAACTCAAAATTGACTGAAAGTTAAATCTACTCGTTTGAAAAGAGTTTTGAACTCGGTGTTGAAGGTAATGAGTAGGCCCACACGGAATCTGCACACGCAGAAATCCGCAGATTTTCCACAGAATTCCACAGATTTTTATCCCATTATTAATTCAGTTTATTTACTTGAGTAAATGTGTAAATCTGAATTTATTCAGTTTTTATTCAGTAATTTATTACTTTTTATTTAATATATTAAGGTTTTAGTTATGATACTCCGCTGGATACTCCCAAAATAATTCAGCAGAAATTCACAGATTTTTATCCCATTATTAATTCAGTTTATTTACTTGAGTAAATGTGTAAATCTGAATTTATTCAGTTTTTATTCAGTAATTTATTACTTTTTATTTAATATATTAAGGTTTTAGTTATGATACTCCGCTGGATACTCCCAAAATAATTCAGCAGAAATTCACAGATTTTTACCAAAATTCTCAGCAGAAATAGCAAAAAACATCCGCAGATTCCATCTGGCCCTGGTAATGAGTTAATTTAACACCTCATTACTTAAATTGAGTCATATTAGTTTTTAAATCAAATGGTTTGTAGCGATCAGTCTCCTCAAACGGTTTGAGTTTGACTTACTGGGTTTCACAGTACTCAGTTGGTTTGAGTTCTCTTCATTTATTGGGTTTAAATTGCTTCGTTTACTTGAATGGATTAAGTTCACAGTACTTAAATGGTTTCAAGAGTTTACACTTAGATATTGCTTGATAATAATAGCAGGTTTGGCATGCTGTTCCAGGAGAGAACCCTGAGCTCAGAGATAATTGAGCCCAGGGCTCCGGCCTGGTCAATGAGCATGTAAGGTGGTACGAGATCAGGAAGTTCTTGAGAGCTCCCCCTTTTAAAGGAGAAAAAGGAGGAGATGGGGTGGATGGGGGGATTCTTCTAAAAACGAAGATGAGGGGGTAAAGTTAAGGCCTGTGCACACTGGGACACTTTTTACTCACGTTTTTTGTCAACGTTTAACACCTCGTGGCTAAATAAATGACGCCAATGTGATCAAACCAACGTGCAAAACGGCAGGCGCAAAAGCGTCATTATTAAAGAAACGTCTCATGCTCGTTTGTTTTGATGCGCCACATTTAAACCTTCTCTACCAATCAAATTGGCACTTTTGATCGGTGTGTACAAGCCTTTAGTTGGGCTATTTATAGTGGGTTTGGAATGATCCGATTGGTTTACTAATGATTACAGATGAGAGACCAGTTGCGATCAGTCATGTTACCTGTTTTCTAGAAATTCGTTTGTGAAACTTCACTTGTTGCAAACGGTTTCCCTTAAATGGTTTGACTTTCTAGGAGTTATGCAGTGTAGATCTGGCTTGTCTATGTTTATAAATCATGCATTGTATTTAAAGTGTCTTTATTTGTGCGTGAAATGTTAATTCAATTGTATTCCTTTGTAAAAGTGCCATCATTTAAACTCAGCATGCTCCTCGAACAAAAAAAACCCATCACACTCGCCAAACTGAAATCCATTTCTGCTTTAATACAAAACAATATTATTTAAAAATAAATATGCGGAATAATAATAAACTAAAAACACACACAAAAAAAGATGTTAACAGCACCATTAAATATATTACTCTGAAAACGTGGCACACAAAGAGAATGTTTGTTTGTCATCCCAACACTTCTCCACCGAGCTGATCGCCGATATAAACAAACTAAAAAAGGCGCTTTTCAGGAATGTTTTTGTCTCTCGTTTGTCTGTCTAGAAAAAGCCGTCCACAGTTTTTCAGATTCATGAAACAATAACACGATATAAATAGATCAAATTAAATAGACAGAATACTGCTCTAACAATTTAAATTAGGTGCAGCGAACTACACAAAGGGATATTAGAAATGTATATACAGATATCGTGTGGTAATAAACAGTTCCTAAAGTTGTGTGCAATATTCTCTTTCTTTGGAAAAAAAAATATATTTATGAATACCGCGTACTAACAGAACGACTTCGTTCCTTCACACATTACAAAATACTATAGTCAATTCTATAGTGTCGCTTTTGGAATACACTATAGTAAAGTACTTGATATTATAATATACACTGTGAAAAAGGCTGGGTTCCACACAATTTCTTCATGTTGTCCCAACACAAATCGATTAAGTCAACTTAACTTACAAATTTAAGTGGATCAAAGATAAAACAATTAAGTTGTGCCCAAAATAACTTAAGAATTGTGTTGGTTCAACTCAATTTTAAATAAGTAGTTTGAACAAGCAGCAAAAAAAAAACGTCAGTATAATACACTTTACCACAGTATGGTTCAAAAACACTACTTACTATAGTATTTTTAATGTGGAATGTCAAAAGTCACTGATTTGTGTGTGTGTTTTGTCATATATACATACACGTAATATCCCTTTAGTATTATCACACCAAGTCCTATTGGATGTTAGTCAGTACAGGTGTCTTTTCGACTACGAATTCACCCTAGCAAGTGACATCACAGAAAAAGATAGTTCCGCATTCGTGTTCCGCTCCTGGACCCACTGTTCCGAAGATTCCGGAAAAGAATCTTTAATGTGTCACTTCCTGTCCTTTGATTGACAGTCTGCTACTGTTCGTAAAGAAAGGTCCGGAGGTTGTCGGCTCTCAGTGAAGGCTGAGTCTTTAATTATGCATCCCTCGCTGTGTTTCGTCCAATCACAGGCCTCAGACGTAGTGACACTGCAATATATCCCATTCACACGCGAAAGCAGCGTCTTCGTTGACTTATTTGTAGGTGATAGCAGCGACACACATTGTCATTTAATATATATATTTATATATATAATATTCTTTATATTAATATCTTAAAAATATACAATGGGATGATATCTCCTGCACTTAGTGTTTCGTTCAGGATAGTGTTTGCAGTTCATCCAAGGAATGTTCTTCCTTAGGTTTTGAAAGTGCTGTGCCGTTTAAAAAGTTTTTATTTAAGTTCCTTCCTTCATGCAGAGTTCTGCCCGGCGTTCGCTCGATCATCATCTTGGCTTTTCACATCTGAAAGAGAACAATTGGATTGGTTAGAAATCTGACATGTTGGTATATATTAAGGAGATATTCCTAGAAGGGATACAGCTGCAGTCGGAAGTTATTATTTATGTTAATAATAATCTACCCCTACCCTCAATGTAATGTAAAAATATGAATTACTGATGTACAGTGTGACACAAATTATGCTTTACTTACTGATGTAAGTATCCACCGCTGTATCTCTTTAAGATTTAACACACTTAAGGAAATCCTAGGCATTTATTGATGTGACTCCACCCACTTGACTCCTTGAAGCCAATCAGAGTTAAGGCTGTTTACTCACTCTACTATTTCCCAATGGAATGTTTTTACATTATTAGGGTGTAGAGGTGAGTAGAATTTAATGAGTTATTTCATAAATAATATGAAAACTCTGTATAATTACTGTTTGTGCATTATTTTGGTGGTTGGGTTTGGGTTTAGGGTTGGGGTGGACTTTAATAAAATACAATTAATGGGTAATTTAATAAATAATATAAATAATTCCCATTAGTTTCCGACCACAGCTGTATCTCTTCTAGACTTTGCACAGTTAAGGACATGTTATGCATTTATTGATATGTGACTCCACCCACTTGACTCCTTGTAGCCAATCAGACTTCTTGTAGCCTGTTTAATCACTCTGTGATTTCCGAATGAAATGTTTTACATTATTTAAGGCCTAGAGATCGGGTAGGGATTAATAAAATACAATTTAATGAGTGAGTTATTGAATAATACGAATAATACTCTCTATAATTACTGTTTTTGCATTAATTTGATGGTTGGGTTTAGGGTAGCCTTTAATAAAATACAATTAATGGGTAATTTAATAAATAATATAAATAATTCTCATTAATTTCCGATCGCAGCTGTATCCCTTCTAGACTTTGCACAGTTAAGGAAATCCATTAATTAATATGTGACTCCACCCACTCGACTCCCTTTATAATAATTTAGTCTGCATCTACAGTTATACATGAAATTAATTCTATTCTTTTTGAAATATGGTTAAAGTGAACTTATGGTAAACTAAAATACACGTAAAGGTTTTAATAGTAATATATTTTAGTATACCATAAGTTAACTTTACCCAAATTTCAAAAAGAATAGAAGTAATTTCCTATATAACTGTAAATACAGATTAAATTATTAGCCTTAAAAATATTAAATTCTTTTCATTTACTTAGTTTACATTTTCAAGAGCTAGGAGATTTGTTAAACATAGCCCTTCTTTAAGACATAAAAACGAGTTATACGAAATACTTAAATAAAATTATCATGGTAAAAATGTCCTCTTTAAAATAAATTTAAATGTCATAAGGTGGCTAATACATTTCTTTTCAACTGTAAAACTAGAATAAAGTTGATTTCATTTTGACAGCGATAATGCGCTTGGCAATATTACACGCTGCATAAGGGTTGTTGCTAGAAAGGATACAGCTGCGGCCGTAAGTTAATGAGAATTATTCATATTACTTATTAATTGTATTTTATTTGACATATAAGTCACAGTTTAGTCAATTTAAAGGTCATATTGAAGAACACCTTTGAAAGGAGTTATAGTTTGGGTGGAATCACCGGACAACCAAAAGATGCTTGCATTTCCACTGAATATGACAGTAACACATATAGAGTAACAGTGTTGGGGAAAGTTACTTTTTTAAAAAGTAGTGCATTACAAAATTGAGTTACTCCCCAAAAAAGTAACTAGTTACGTTACTTACTCTTTATGGCAAGTAATGTGTTACGCTACTTTTGAGTTACTTTTTATTACCTGGCTATTTTTTCCTTTCTTTTTTTAATAGAGGAGCTCTGCAATTAACAACACACTGTATAACCCACGTCTACGTTTACCTTTAAAAAACATATAATAAATAATATATTAGGACAATGTTATCTGAGAACATCCTTAACCCAGAGCTATACATGTCATATATACAGATTATTGTAAGTTTAATGCAATGTGTGTACTACTTTTGTGCTATCTGTCTTACGTAAAATCACTGTCCATTAAGACTCTAATCCCCTTTTCTTCGATGCGTTCAAAATGTTGAACACATTCTCTCATTGACGGCGTGATTCATCGTGCCTAATGTATTTTTATTAATTTATTCTAATTAATTTAATTTAAAAAATGTAGCTCGGGTTACATTTTCAAAAAAGTAACTCAAATATTATGACATTTCTTAATAGTAGTTACTTTACTCGTTACTTGGAAAAGTATGATTATTATGTAACTTGTGTTACTTGTAATGCGTTACGCCCAACACTGTAAAGTCTGTTAACACATAAGATCACACACACACACTGGTAGGACATTTGATGAGAAGCAAACCGCATGGACACACTGATATTCACATTTTACTTCAACACTAAAATCCAAAAAATGCTGTGATTTCCGCACTTTGTCAGCAAATTACGGTCTGAACACAAAACAATGAGCAATAAATGATAAGATGATGATCCACTTCACAAACACACACATATGCACTTTCCCTGCTTACTGGAAAACACCAAATCATAGTTCTTGTTGACAAAATACCTCATTAACGTCACGTAAACAGTTCATTATGATATCAAATCCACAATGTTGACACTACACAGCATGTAGTGACGTCTGTTAGTGCAAGGCAGGGATGCGCTAGATTTAGTTGTGTCGTACATTATACCAAACAAACACAAACACACACATACTGTACACACAAAGTCAACCTGAACATGCAGATACATCATTCTGGATACATCCGAAAATGCTCATTTTGTTGAAGTCAAATTTATTAGCCCTATTTTAAGCAACTATTTCTCAAACGATGTTAAACAGATTCAGGAATTTTTCACAGTATTTCCTAAAATGTTTTTATTTCTGGAGAAAGTCTCATTTGGTTTATTTCGGCTAGAATAAAAGCTGTTTTCATTTTTTAAAAGCCATTTTAAGGTCAATATTATTAGCCCCCATAAGCAATATTGTTTTTCGACTGACTGCCGAACAAGCTATTATTATTTCCGATAAACAGAAATAGAGGAAATAAGAGAGAGGGGGGGGGGGGGTAATAATTCAGGGGGGCTTATAATTCTATGTAAACTATGTGCATAATAATAAAAATTAAGTTAAGTGAACTTAATAGTTCTAAGTTGAAACAGAAATACTTTATATTTTTGGAAGAAAAATCAACTTGTCACTTTTAAGGCAATGGGTTTACTTCGATTTTTTGGGGGTAATTGCTTTTTAAAGTGTAGTTGAAACTTGATTAACTTATTAAAATAAGTTCTAGCATCTTGTTATATATATTTTTAAAGTAACAGTCTTATTTCAAACCAGAAAGCAGAAAGTAAGATTATTTATTTGAGTGTCATTTAATTTAATTTTATATTTTATATATATATATACACACACACACATACATATATATATATATATATATATATATATATATATATATATATATATATATATACACACACACACATACATATATATATATATATATATATATATATATATATATATATATATATATATATATATATATATATATATATATATATATAAATTAATTAATTTTTAATGGTCATGCTTTCTGATTTAAGATATTTGGAGAATATCTATGAATATCTAGAAACATTAAGTAAGACAAAAAAAAACGTTAAGAAAGAAAAACATTGTATTACATCATAGTGTTTAGCTTAAAGTGCAATTTAAAGGCCTTATTATGATAATTAGGTTAATTGTAAAAGTTAATTAGACAAGTCATTGAAAAGTGGTTTGTTCTGTAGCCAATCAGAGAAAAAATTGGAAAAAAGGGAATAAAGGTGGCTAATAATATTATTTTTAATAATATATTATTATTTAATAACCTTAAAAAATGGTTTTAAAAATATGAAGGAAATAAGACTTTCTCCACACAAAAAAAACATTATAAAAATATTGTATAAAAAATGTCCTTGCTCTCTTAAACATCAATATTTTAAAAATTATTTAAAGTTGATATATAATATAACATACCACAATATCAATCAGGAAGAGCATCTTCAAGTAAATGATGCATGCACGACAAAATGCAGCTAAATGCAGACAGAAGGCAAACATTTCTCCATGTATCCAGACCAATGCAGACGCAGCCTATAAGATAATGCAACAAGCGCTGGAATCATGCACGTTTCAGCAAGGAGAAAGGGTTTTCAGAAGAGACCGGAAGACAAGATGCGTGTTGCACATGGTGGCAGTTCATAAACAAACCTGCAAGTTCTTTCGTTTAACTCAAGTTGTCTGGACTTGCATTGCATTTGTGTGAATTTGCAGGAGCATTTACAGGTGAGGGGGTCCTGCACATACAAGCGCTTCCTTCTCTCTGAGCAAGGCTCACAGTGGCTGCAAGAGAAGCAGAAGGAGAGACAGAGAGACAACTAAGCACTAGTGATCTGGGAAGAGCGCTGGACACACACATACACACACACTGCAATAAAAAAAGCATTTCTTACTTAAACTAATTCTAGTCCAAATATCAAAAATTCTCACATTAAAAAAGCATTTTCTGTACTAGTATTAATAACGTCAGAATTAAGTGTGTTTTTTCTGTAAAACACGCTAAATAATCTTGTTTGATTATTTTGCTTACCCTATTGGCAGATTATTTAGCTTGCTTTAATAAAAAACTCTATTTATTTTGATAGATTATCTCTGAAAACAAAACAGTATTTTTACTTGTTCAGAAAATGCTTTATAATTTAATACTTTTTTGATATTTGGACTAGAAACGGGGCAAAAACTCTTAAGTAAGAAAAGCAGTTTCCGCAGTGCACGGCCACACACACTCATGCACCTCACCATCACACACAACCTCACCGCATCAAACGCTACAGATTTAGCTTTTTGTCAGATTTAGCATGAATGGCGGAAGGAAAGCTGGGCTTGTGTGTGATGCGAGCGAAGCATGAACCCGTTCGTCCGTCAAACATTCAGAAATGAGAAATGATGATTAGTGGCAACAGTGAAATCAGAAACACAGACAACACAGACTGCTTTTACAAACACACACGCAGACAGATTCACATATACACCATGGAAAGCATGAAGCAAGAGCAGTGTTTGCAAAAATGGCTTGTTCGACCACAGGTGACACAGTTTAGCAGCACAGTTTTAATAATAATACAAATATATAAACAAAATCTAAAAACCAGTTGCATTTAAAATGATTCGTTGACTTTTAAAAGTCAGTAAAAACGTTGAGTCTGAAAGTGATCGGTTGACTGATTTTTTAAAAGTAAAACCGATGCTTTTAAAGCGATTAGTTGATCGTACATTAAAAAGTGAGTAAACCTGTTGCTTTTAAAGCAAATAGTTGATTTTAAAAGTGAGTAAACTTGTTGCTTTGAAAGGGATTAGTTGATCATACTTTAAAAAAGTGAGTAAACTCATTGCTTTTAAAGGGATTAGTTGATCATACTTTAAAAACGATTGTAAAACCGATGCTTTTAAAGTGATTAGTTGACTACTTTTAAAATGTGAGTAAACGTGTTGCTTTTAAAGTTAATAGTTGACTAAACTTTAAAAACAGCGAGTAAACTTGCTGCTTTAAAGCGATTAATTGATTATACTTTAAAAACGTGAATAAAATCAATGCTTTTAAACTGATTAGTTGGTCAAACTTAAAAAATGTGAGTAAAAACGATGCTTTTAAAGCGATTAGTTGACTATACTTTAAAAACAGTGAGTAAAACCGATGCTTTTAAAGCGATAAGTTGATTATACTTTGAAAAAGTGAGTAAACTTGTTGCTTTTAAAGCGATTAGTTGATCAAACTTTAAAAACGTGAGTAAAAACAATGCTTTTATAGCGATTAGTTGACTATACTTTAAAAAACAGTGCGAAAAAACAATGCTTTTAATGTAGTCAACTAATCGCTTTAAAATCATTGGTTTTACTTACTGTTTTTTAAAGCGAATAGTGGATCATACTTTAAAAAAAGTGAGTAAAACTGAAGCTTTTAAGTCAATAATTGACTTTAGTTTAAAAAGTAAAACCGATGCTTGAAAAGCTGACTTTACTTTAAAAAAGTGAGTAAAACCGATGCTTTTAAAGCGATTAATTGAGTTTATTATTTTTTTAAATAGTAAAACCTGTGGTTTTAAAGTGATTAATTGACTGTACTTTAAAAGAGCTGAGTAAAAGACGATGCTTTTAAAGCTATTAGTTGATCAAACTTTAAAAACGTGAGTAAAAACAATGCTTTTAAAGCGATTAGTTGACTATACTTTAAAAAACAGTGCCTAAAACCAATGCTTTTAATGTAGTCAACTAATCGCTTTAAAAGCATTGGTTTTACTCACTGTTTTTAAAAGCGATTAGTGGATCATACTTTAAAAAAGTGAGTAAAACCGATGGTTTTAAAGTGATTAATTGACTTTAATTTAAAATAGCTGAGTAAAAAACAATGCTTTTAAAAGCGATTAGTTGATTATACTTTTAAAAAGTGAGTAAACTTGTTGCTTTTAAAGTGATTAGTTGACTATAAAATTAAGTAAAACCATTGCTTTAAAAAAAAAAACATTTTATTTTAAAGCATACACCATTTTTTGTTATTTTATGCTAATGAGAAAATCCCATTTAAATTTGGAAGAAATGCCATCAGTAATTCACAAAATAAGACAGAATTATGTAGTAAAGTAATTAAATAAACTGATTAAAATGACTTTCCCCATGATGATTAATATGTATTAACGAACTCAAAGGAAATCATTATTTTGACTGAAGCTCTTCAAACAAAGTCCCATGTGTACAGTAGAGCAGCTGTTGTCAGAAACGCTACAGTAATGCAGGTGTGCAGAGCCTCATCCCAGCTGTACATTAGTTAATGACAGAGACAGTCATGCAGCCACTGTTTATTCACCTTTGGTTGCTTTCCTCTTTGCGGGCCGTGGGCCAACAGTGTGAATATGAGTCAAAATAAATGCAGACTGAGTGAGATTACAAAGAGCAAACAAGCTGGCCATAAATAAAGCCAATGACTGAGAGTAAAGTACTGCTTGAGCGCAGGTGAGCCGAGGCGCTGAGACCGCCTGAATCTCCCTCTCTCGCTCTGTTTGGGTTTTTAACCCTCCTCACTCTGGGCTTTCTGCAAAACAGGAGAATAACGCAGGAATAGGACATCTAAGAGAAGCAGCGCCACGATCTCAAAAGCACTAAGTTGTTACAAAAAAAAATAATGCAAATTTATTTTTGTTTGTCGCTTCCGCCTAATGTTTAAATACTTAGTAAAAAGTTTTATACATATCACAAATTGTTAATATTTGTGTTCTATAAAGGTCTGATCACATTTCTTCTACATTTGAAAGTAAATATTGTCCTTTTTTTCTAAAAAAAAAAAGTTAATTGGTCACACAATAATGCATTTTTAATTAGCTGAGAATGGTGATTGAAAATCTGGGATATTTGACTAAACATAGATTTTTTTATTATTCTCTTTTGTTCACTTAAATGAGGCAAAAACAAATAAAAAACAACACTGACATCATTTTATTTTAAATTTGAAGAAATGCCTTCAGTACTTCACAAAACAAAACAAAGTTTTATTCAAACACATAAGTATTGTAAATCCAGATAAACAGAGAATTTCCAAGCGCACTCTTAATTTTTCCATACTTGTATGTTTGTATATTTTAAATACATACTATTTAGTAATATTAAATAATGCTAGACTAAATAAAGTGAGCTTTTTCGAGCATAAAACACTAAAAATGTGACCAAGAACCACAATAGCAATCATAAGTTTTGAATTTTGGAAAATGGCATTTAAGCACCACCATAAATAAGTTTTGCATTGACAAATTTGTTGGCTGAGACATAAATATTTAAAAATCTGTAATCGGAGTGTTAAAAAATATTGTAAATATTGGGAAAATCTTAACCCAGGCTCACTTGATTAATGTGCCCAGGGCTAGATCTTTGAGAACTGAGAAATATGTACCTGGGCTACGTCTTGCAGTTTTTTCAGTAGTCCACTAGCCTTGTAAAGGTTGACAATCTCAAATAAGTTCCTGGGGCACATTTTCTAATATGTGCCATTTTTCGTAAATTCACCAGAGGCAGGTTTCTGTTACCGTCCTTCACCAGACTACAACCGCTTGTCTCCGCATCCAAAGTCCAACACTAAGTAGCGAGCTACAAAGCTAATCAGTCACACCAGAAAATGTCAATAAGGAGGTAAGCAGTAATTTGTACTACTCTGTAACATTCATCTTACACTCAAAATTCTTCACATACACACATACTTCTTGGTTCTCAAAAATGTAGCCCTGGGCACATATTCCCAATGAGACTGTTGGAAAATCTTCTTTAAAGTTGTCCAAATGTTCTTAGCGATACATAAAACCAATATAAAGTTAAGTCTTCACATGTTTACGGTAGGAAATTTACTAAATATCTTCATGGAGCATCATCTTTACTTAATATTCCAATGACTTTTTGGCATAAAAGTATAAATATTTTGACCCATACAATGTATTTTGGCTATTGTATGTATTTTAGCACAAAATTGATTTGTGTTGGGTCAACATGAAGAAACTGAGTAAACATGTCGGTTTTAGCAAATTTAAGTGGACTGAACCAAAAACAATTAAGTTGTCCCAAAAAAAAAAATTGAAGAATGTGTTGTGTCAGCTCTTTAAAAATAAGCAGCAAAGAAAATATGTCCATAAGGATGTAACCAGTTATCTGTACCACCTCGTAGCATTCATTTTACACACAAAATACATCCATATATGTGTCCACAAGCACATACTTCTCGGTTCTCAAAACTGTAGCCCTGGGCACATATTCCCAATGAGACTGTTGGAAAATCTTCTTCAAAGTTGTCCAAATGTTCTTAGCAATACGAAAAACCAATGTGAAGTTAAGTCTTCACATGTTTAGGGTAGGAAATTTACTAAATATCTTCATGGAGCATCATCTTTACTTAATATTCCAATGACTTTTTGGCATAAAAGTAAAAATATTTTGACCCATACAATGTATTTTGGCTATTGTATGTATTTTAGCACAACATTGATTTGTGTTGGGTCGACATGAAGGAACTGAGTAAACATGTTGGTTTTAGCAAATTTAAGTGGACTGAACCAAAAACAATTAAGTTGTCCCAAAAAAAAACAAAATTTAAGAATGTGTTTTGTCAGCTCTTTTAAAATAAGCAAAATGAGCAAACAACAAAGATTTTGTAGTCCTGGATCACCAAAAATGTAAATATACTATAAAAGCCACCATTTTGAATCCATATAGCTAATATTTATATATACACAAATCGTTAGTATACATATTCATTATTGAGTTTTGCTGAGGTATCTTTGTACCTGTGGATCCTGAAACTGCACTGACTTTAGTGTTGCTTGTTGAAATGTTGCTATTGTGACAACCTTAATGAGCAGTAATTAAATCGAGGAGCAGCGCGTCATGAACAGGCCTCATGAGGAAACACACAGACTCTACAGTCCAGATAAGCAGCTAAAGGGATTGAGTGTGTATATATGTGTGTGTTTGAGGAGCTTAGAGGTGAGGATCGAAGTACAAGCAGCTGAACTTGAGCTTGTGAATCAGCGAACGCTTGCCTACGTGCGGAGAGAGACGCCGCTAAAACCCATGAGGATTTCTCTGAGCCTTTCTGACCCGACTCATCACCTGAACACACACACACACACACACAGCTGCTGCCGGACCCTCCTGAACATAATTCAAGTCTAATTACCATATTTACACAGGAAATATGTATTGCAAAACGGTAAAGTTACTTTTAAAATTAATATTTGACAACATTAAGCCTGTATTCATTTTATAAACAAATAAAAATGTAATAATTACGCATTACTTTTCTTAAAAAGTAACTAACACATTTAGTTACTTAAAATATAAAAGTGACTTGTAATATATTAGCGTTAAAAATTCCTAATCTTACAAATACACATAAAACATACTTTTGTGTTACCTGCCTTAAAAAGTAACTAGTTAGAAATTTAATTACTTTAAAAAAGATGCAATATTGTAATTTAACTCTTTCAAAAGCAACAACGCTGGAAATAGCTAGTCTTATTTTAAGGTGGTACCCTAAAACACAAGATATATATATATATATATTGTCATGATTGCCAGTGATGTATGTTGGGATATGTATGTGGAATGAACCACTAACTACTCCAGCATTAGTTTTATGCAAGAGATGCCCTTCCAGTCGCAACCTAGTTCTGGGAAACACCAATACACACTCATTCACACTCACACACTATGGACAAATCTGCTTACCCAATTCACCTGTACCGCATGTGTTTGGACTGTGGGGGAAAGCGGAGCACCCAGAGAAAACCCACACAAACATGGGGAGAACATGCAAACTCCACATAGAAATGCCAACTGGCCTTGCTGTGACTCAAACCAGAGACCTTTTGGTCCCACTTTATATTAAGTGTCCTTAACTACTATGTACTTACATCAAAAAATAAATACAATGTACTTACTGTGTTCATAAAGTATTTGAGAGCACTTGTGGTGCTCTTGAGTTGGGATAGAGGTTGGGTTAGGGACAGGTTTGGGGGTGTGGGTAGGTTTAAGGGTGGGTTAAGGTGTAAGGGATGGTCAACAGTGTATTTACAAGTGTAATTACAGAAGTTAATTACAGATGTAATTACATACAGGTATTTAATCAAGCATAAGTGCACAGTAAATACATGTTTTTACACAATAAGTACATTGTAACAAACTATTAATTCCTGTGTAAGTACATATTAGTTAAGGCCACTTAATATAAAGTGGGACCGACCTTTTTGCTGTAAAGTGACTGAACCACCATGTGTTCATTTATTTCAACTATTTATACAGGTTAAATTGGTACAAATTGCACTTTAAGGAACACAGACACATAGTTATTGAACCAAACTGAATCAACACTCGACTGACCTCATTCATATTTTAAAAAGCAACTTTATGACTGATTTAAATGTTAAAATACTTGAATATCTTAGTTAATAACACAAAGCCCCTTTCATAAAGCTTAAATTGAATAATGCACATTGCTGTAAAGCACTTTAAAGTCACTTTTTAGTGTGCATATGTGAATTACGGAAAAAACGCACACACATATTAGCATTATATAACCCCATGACATTCACATGTGGCGTCAGATACATTAGCGGTCAATGTATAATCGCACACAAAGCTTAAGACACAATGGAAGTAAAGAAGGTTTGTGAAGCAGCTCTCGGTAACCAACAATAACCTCTGTCCCGGGATCACCTACTGTTTAAAAGGCTAAAAATAAAAGTGGGTTAACGGCACTTGTTACTATGATTAGTACGGGGGAAGCATTAAGGGTCAGTGTTGAGCAAGTGTGAGCATCGGCGGGTGGTCTTCACTTCACAGCTGCCAGAAAAACCCAAACAAATCCCATAAAACCGCCGGTTATTGGCAGGTCAGAGCATCAGTCCACTGAAATGTCACGTCTGATGAGCTCCACACACTACTGCCTCTATGGTAATGATGGCCCTGAAGCGATATTATTTGACATATTACATATATCTACATATTGCTGGCAACATGTTATCCTATTAAGGTAATTATTAAAAAGTATTTTGAAATGAATGTTCAAAGGCACGTCACAGTGGCGCAGTGGGTAGCACGATCGCCTCACAGCAAGAAGGTCGCTGGTTCATACATTATTTTAAAGTTCTCTCTCTGAGTTATAATAAATGGTGACCATTTACAATAACGTTCCATTCATTCATTTTCCTTCAGCTTAGTCCTTTTATTCATCAGGGGTGGCCACAGCGGAATGAACCGCCAACTCTTCCAGCATGTTTTACACAGCGGATGCCTTTTCAGCTGCAACCCAGTACTGGGAAACACCCATAAACACTCATTCACACACATCACGGCCGTTTTAGTTTATTCAGTTCACCTATAGCGCATGTCTTCGGACTTGTGGGGGAAACCGGAGCACCCGGAGGAAACCCACGCCAACACGGTAAGGACATGCAAACTCCACATAGAAATGCCAACTGACCCAGCCGGGACTCAAATGATACAAACAGTATATTCCAGAAGAACTTTAACGGTCCATATCAGTCTTTCATTTAATAGATCTAGCATGATGACTAACGTTTTGATTGCATGTTCGGCAGATTGTCCTCTAAGAGTCTTGTCTTTTTATAGCAGTTGCATGTCTATTTCTGGCAGACGTCTAAACGATATCTCTGAAAGGAAGAGCAGGTTTAGTTTTTGGGTGTTGTGTGGTGAGTAAGTCGCGGTGAGTTTGTGCCTGAGGAGCAGGAGGGATTGGGATGTTGTAACACTGAGTGGATGTTGATTTCACTGTTTGGGTGTGAGAACAGTCAAGCATTTCATTTCGCTTTGTTGTGGTCAAACGGGAGCTGAAGGCGTGTCGAGGTGTGCTCTGGGAGTCACGATGACTTTGATGGACAGTATAACTGAATACATTTGCATCGAAATTCAACATGATAGCATGCTTTTGAATGAACTTCATTTGTGGCATTCAATATGCGCTCACGGTTCACTCTGTTACGTTATTATTTGTTTTACTGAGCATTAATAATTTATTTTTATACTTTTATAATGCCTGGAGCTTTTTATACTTTGTGGCGATAGTAATCCAGTGGAGATAAAGGTGATGGACTGTTACTTGAGCGTGGTTTGGAAATTATATTGAGTTACATTACATTTTTATCACTCTGATTTTCATTTTAATAATGCTGCTGTGTGCTGAGTCATTATTTTATTACTAAAATCAGTGGCAAGAAGGGGTGAAAAGAAAGTAAACCCAGAGTCCTGGGTTACTTTAACATGGTTCTGGTTTTGTTTTAATAATGTTGTTGTCATTTTATTATAGCATTCTTCTTTTTATTGAAGTTTTAAAGAAGAATTTGAAATCAAAATAAGTTGGTTGCTGTTGGTTTTAACAAATTTAAGTTTACTGAACATAAAACAATTCAGTTGTCCCCCCCCCCCCCCCCCAAAAAAAATCTCAAAATATGTTGTTTCAGCTCATTTTAAATAAGTAGTCTAAACAAAACTAAACTGAATTTGCTGACAAATTGTTCACTTTCTTGTTGCCTTTTTAATGAATCGTTGACGAATTTAATACATTTTTGATGCATTTGATGATATTCTGCTGATACTTCCTCAAGGATGTATTTCTTTTTATTTTATTACTAAAGTCAGTGGCAAGAAGGGGTGGACTTCCTGGAGCTTTAGAGTTGGAATTAAATCCAAAGCCTAGAGTCCTGCATTACTTTAGCATTGTTTAGACATAATTTTTAATGACATTTCATTTTTAATACTGAATAATACTGAATTTTAATACCGCATTTATCATTTTAATAATGTTGTTGTTGTCATATTTATTATTATTATTATATCATTTTTGAAACTTTAAGGAAGAATTTGAAATCAAAATAGGTTAAAGGTGTTTATATTTCAGTGTTTTTTAAATAACTGCAAATTTTAAATGTGAATATTTTGTCAAGATGTGATATTCTTCAAGTGATCTCTTAGATTTTTTTAGTAGCTGTAAATCATATTTTGAAAACATTAATATAAAAGAACAAACATTCAAAGTAAATTGAGTAAACTTGTTGGTTTTAACAAATTTAAGTGGATTGAACATAAAACAATTAAGTTGTCCCCCAAAAAAACTCAAAAATTGTGCTGTTTCAGCTCATTTTAATTAAGTAGTTTGAGCAACGTTTAAGTATATCGTTGAGAAAATCTTAACAAAATGTTGGCCTTAACCAAACCAAACTGAATTTGCTGGCAAATTCTTCACTTTCTTTTTTTTTTCCTTCTTTTTTTTTCCTACAATTTTCTTAATTTTTAGAAACTTTAAAGAAGAATTTGAAATTAAAATAAGTTTAAGTAGTTTATATTTTAATGTCTTTCAAATAACTAAGTTTTAAATGGGACTTGTTGGTTTTAACAAATTTAAGTGTATTGAACATGAAACAATTAAGCTGTCCCCCCAAAAAAGGCTCAAAAAAATGTTGTTTCGTGTGCGTGCTCATTTTTAAATAAGTAGTTTGAGCAAACAACAAATGTCAAATTTTTAGTGTATCATTGAGAAAATCTTTGTCTTAACCAAAAAATTTTGGTCTTAACCAAACCAAACTGAATTTGCTGGCAAATTCTTCATTTTCTTTTTTTCTTCTTCTTTTTTTCTTACAATTTTCTTAATTTTTAGAAACTTTAAAGAAGAATTTGAAATTAAAATAAGTTTAAGTGGTTTATATTTTAATGTAGTTCAAATAACTGTACGTTTTAAATGGGAATATTTTGTCAATATTGATGCAATATTCTTCAAGTGATTCTTTTCAGTAGCTGTAAACAATATTTTGAAAACATTATTATTAAAGAGCAAACATTCAAAGTAAATTGAGTAAACTTTAAGGGTATTGAACATGAAACAATTAAGTTGTCCCCCCCAAAAAAGGCTAAAAAAAAGTTTATTTTTAAATAAGTAGTTTGAGCAAACAACAAATGTCAAATTTTTTAGTGTATCATTGAGAAAATCTTAACAAAATTTTGATCTTAACCAAACCAAACTGAGTTTGCAGGCAAATTGTTCACTTTTTTGTTGCGTTTTTGATGAATCCTTAATTAATTTGAGGAATTTTTGATACTTCCACAAGTATGTATTTCTCTTAGCCATTACTTTATTACTAAAGTCAATAGCAAGAAGGGGTAGACTGCCTGGAACTTTAGAGTTGGAATGAAATATAAGTGAATATAAAGTAAACCCCGAGTCCTGTGTGTTTACAAAGTGAACTGCACAGACGCTGTGGACATCTGAGTTCATTTAGAGTGTTTTCATACGAGGCAAAACCGCCTTATAAGTACTAATAGAATAATAAGCAAATGGAATGCGCCATTTATGACAATGCAAGCAGCGTGAGTCTGGAAATGATGAATAAATGCACGCTTGGATTTCTCACCCACATCACCTCAGCTGTCTCACACATTCTCTCCACTCACATACAGACTGCTGAGGCTGAGTCATTTACATTAGATAAACACCAACTCACTGACGAGGCAAGTCATTTTCGTCTAGCTCCTACAGGAATCCACTGCTTATGCTTGGATTGTGATTGGTCAATCTAGGCAAACAGTTAGTGATAAACTGCCTCTTGCTGGTAAGTGTTAGCTGCTAGCACAGTGTCCAGCTGGCTGCTTCTCATTGCCGGTCGATCAGCCCAGTCATTGCACATTTTTAGCTGCGTGTTAAGAAACGCCCTGTGCCATCTACATGTAAATCCATCCACGCGATCAACAAACAAACCCTAAGCAATTCCCAGAATGCCCCGTAGGAAAAATAGAATCTATAATCATAAAATCACCCAAAAAGCTTGACATAGGAAATAATCTTTCATGAGATGAAATGAAAACTCAACTTACTTTTCTTTCTTTGCTTTGACTTCTGCCTTTGGCCTGAAAAAGAAGATGCGACCGAGGATTAATTCACAATAAATAACTCAAAGGATTCATTCACTCAGATTACAAGAATTTTTAAAGGACATTTCAGCAGCAAGACACCTTTTAAGAATGCGTGATGATTAAAAATGATATTGCAATTTGGCAAAAGCTGTGATTCTCATGCACATCTTGTCAGGAAAGCACGGCTCTGTTATAAGTAGTAAATCTCCTAAAGCCAGAGGGTGCTCAAGAAGAGTCAACAGGAAATCAAATAAACGATTTAACTACTTTTTTTTGATTAAACGAGAGTCGACTATGAAATCCTTTCACAAATTTTAGACACACAATTGAAGTTATAAAGTGAGTTTGGAGTAAAAGCGTTATTAAATGTGGTGTTTTCACATACTTTCCGATGTAGTAGCAATACAGAGCCATAGATCACTGAGAAGGCACGCAAACATGAAGAATGGTTATCTTCGATTTCATAATCACACCAATTAAATCATTGTCAGGGAACTATGGCTGTGTAGCAAAAGCTGCTCCATCTGAAAGCAGGTGCTGGAGATTTCCTACTGATTACAGAACCGGCTTTACTGACAAAATGCGCATGAAAATTGCCACTGATTTAGTTTAGTTTATTTGTTTACAGGGTCAATGCACATTAATAAACATTACTGTAAAATGTGCCAGAATTAGCCAAGAATGGCTATTTTTCATCCGTAGACCCTTTACAGAATGTTAAAAAGTCACACCTAAAATAGAAGCACAACATTAAACATTAAATACACATTAGTGTGCCACTAGATTAATTGTGCAGCTCTAATATCATTCCAATATTAGAAAAGCAAATAGCAGATTAAGTCATCAGAATCTGAATTGAAATATCTTTTTATTTATTACATTTATTCCTAAATTAATCTCAGCATGAACCATAAGTTTTGTTAAGTTTGTTGATGCACTTGCAACTGAAATTGAATATTGAGTAGGGAGCGGGCTTTCTTTTTGCACATCATTTAGTCTTAGCAAACTAACAGTAAGAGAGGCAGGGCTAAGAATATTGTGGCTGAAGCCGTCAAAGTGACATCACCAGTTAAGAACCGCCACAAATGTAAGCAAATGGTCAGACATTAGTAATACCATTGTGCTGGAGTTTTACAGCGCAGTTGTAATTGTTCATTTATAATGTGCTTGTAAATATCGTACAATATTGTAAAAACTGCCAGTAATACTGTAAAAATGGCAAGTAATACTGTAAAATTTACAAGCGCAATGTAAATCAACAATTATAATTGCCCTGTAGTTTTACAGCGCAGTTGTAATTGTTCATTTGCAGTGAACTTGTAAATTGACAGCAATACAGTAAATATTGCCAGTAATACTGTAAAATTTACAAGTGCACTGTAAATTAACAATTACAATTGTGCTGTAGTTTTACAGCGCAATTGTAATTGTTAATTTACAGTACACTTGTAAATTTTACCATTAATATTGTAAAAAATTGCCAGTAGTACTGTAAAAATGGCCAGTTATACTTTAATTTAGTCCAATTGTAAATTTTAAATAAAATTGTCCTGTAGTTTTACAGCGCACAATTGCACAAGTGCACTTTAAATTAACAATTATAATTGTGCTGTAGTTTTACAAGACAATTGTTATTGGCTAATGCCCATGCGCTTGTAAATTATGCCAGTCATACTGTAAAAATTGCCAGTAATACTGTAAAGTTTACAAGTTTATTGTGAATTTAATAATTATAATTGTGCTGTAAAACTACAGCACAACTGCAATTGTTAATTTACACTGCACTAGTAAATTTTACAGTATTACCGGCTACCAAAATTGTCAGTAATGCCGACATTTTTTACAGTGTAAAAAATAAGAATGTGCGCTAAAATCAAATAAACAGTGCCTGTTTTGACTTCACATAGACTTTAACAGACATACCTGCATTCACACTTGGTGTGTTCTGTGAAACTCAGCTGAAAATTATGCTGCGATACGCGTTGCTTGACCCGCAGCACCTAGACGGACACACAAAAAAAGCACATTAAGGGTATACTTGCACATTTATGACTGTAATATATGAGATTTCGAAGAGAAGATGATGTTCTAACCACAGTCTAATGAATTTAAGTTAACAGATACTTGAATAAATAGCAAGACCAGGCCTCAGCTGTGGCCAAGAGCAGTTTCAACCACATAAACACAGTGTGCAGCGGTAAACAACATAGCTGACATGCCAGTTCACAGCGCCTCAAGGTCCCCACGTTGGGCGAGCATAGTAGTCATAGGAAGCAGGCCGAAGGCTGTCCTTTTTTTCTATTATTACTATTATTATTATCATCATTACACATCATTATTAGAATTGTTGTTATTACCTTCATTATTATTGATATTACTGTTGCAGTCATCGCAGAATATTTATTTCATCATTAACAACTTTTGTTGTTGATATTAGTCGTATTATTATTATTAATGTATAGTTGACAATATTAACCAACCATTAACTAAGACTTCAAGCTCAATAAGCTACTAATTAACTCCTTATTAATAGTTTGTAAGGTAGTAGTTCAGGGTTTAGGTATTGGTCAGGATTAGGGATGTAGAATTTGATCATACTTTATAAATGCATACAGACAGTTAATATCTTAATAATAGGCAAGGAATAAGTCAGTAATAAAGGGTGTGAATTGTTACTTAAACTGAAGTGTTACCTTATTATTATTATTATTACGTCTATGAATGCTAAGTACTAGGGTTGGGGCGATAGACAATGCCATCATCCATCACCGATGGCCATCAGACACCACGATGCTGAGCCGGCATCGCAAACCACCGTTGCAAATCCTCAATCCGTTGCAATCAACCGTTGCAAATCCGCTCGCGAAAAATACACACTCAGGCCCCGTTTACACTAATAGGTCTTAGTTTTTAAATGGCATTTTAGAATGAAAACTTTCCACATCCACACCATCGTTTAGCATTTCTGAGCAGCCCTCCCTCCACACTACCGCTGAAAAGACGCACATACACTGTCATGCGCTGGAAACAGTGGGTCCAGGCAGTCATGCTTCAATCCTTCACATTCACATTTGTACTCAGTAATTTTAGCGAACAACTCAGATACTGTTGGCTGATTCCTGTTGGTTGTGCACCTTTTTACCAACCAAGTTTGTCGACACCATTATAACAACACAGATCACTCTGCCTATTCACGAGTTTGCAGAAAAAGTGATTGACAGGTGGTAATTATGTGTGTAACTTATCTTTAATTATTTACTGTATGATTTGTTATTGTGTAAAACAAAGACCATGCGGGTGAGGTAGTTGAAACGATAGACTTCAAATAATTAATTCGTTAATAATTAATTAATGATTCATAATTAATTTACCACCGCCTATGACGACATACCATCAACCATCGCGATGTTTCATATTAGACATCGTACGATACCAAATTGGTCGTCATCGCCCAACCCTACTAAGTACTATTTAAATATTACCAATATTATTCAGATTGTCATTGCCGTTTATAAACATTCCTGTTATTTCCATTTCTGTTCTATTGTTGTTTATGTATTCTGTTTAGCAGATGCACTCCTAATAAAAAACACTCATAAGAAAAGGTCACACTTTTTAAAAGTACAATTTTCGCTATTAACAAACCATTAACTTGACTTTTAACTCAATAAACCCTTAAATAGCGGCTTATTAATAGTTATTAGGGTAGTAGTTGGGTTTAGGTATTGGGTATGAGTGAGATTATGCATAATATGTGCTTTTTAAGTATTAATAAACAGCCCCCTGCTAAAAAAATCCAGCTTAAACCAGCCTAGGCTGGTTGGCTGGTTTTAGCTGGTCAACCAGGCTGGTTTTAGAGGGGTTTTGGCCACTTCCAGGCTGGTTTTCAGCCATTTCCAGCCTGGTCTTAGCTGGTCACGCTGGAAAATGACCAGTTAAATCCAGCTAAAACCAGCTTGACTAGCCTGGTTTAAGCTGGACATAGCTGTTTTTGGCTGAGCTCCCAGCCTAGCTAGGCAGGTCAAGCTAGTTTTCTAGCCATGGAGATGACCAGCTAAGACCAGGCTGGAAAATGGCTGTAAACCAGCCTGGAAATTGCCAAAACCGCTCTAAGACCAGGCTGGTCAACGAATTAAAACCAGCCAACCAGCCTGTGCTGGTTTAAGCTGTTTTTTTCAGTAGGGCCAATATCTTAAAAGGCAGGTAATAAACCAATAGTTTTAGTAAGAACTGGTCCCCATACTGAAGTGTTACCAATTGTTATACAATGATTCGCCTAATTACCCTAACCTGCCTAATAAACCCAGTTAAGTCTTTAAATGTCACTTTAAGCTGGATACTAGTGTGTTGACAAATTTCTAGTCAAATATTATGTGCTGTCATCATGGCAAAGATAAAAAAAATAAGTTATTAGAAATGAGTTATTAAAACTATTATGTTTAGCAATGTGTTGAATAAAATCTTCATTTCATTAAACAGAAATTGGGGAAAAAATATACAGGAGGGCTAATAATTCTGACTTCATTTGTGTATATATATATATATGCACATGCTGGATTAAAGCTGTCTCACCTCCATAGTGACGTTTCGTGTCTCTGTCGGGACGCATTCGAGCGCCTCATCATTACAGCATCCTGCACAGCGCATGAGAACCACACAGGACGGGATGTACGTGTGCTCGATCTCATCGGGATACTCCTGGATGATGTCTACCAGCAGCTCTCGGGTCTTGCACGCACTCTTTTTATACACATCCATGAAGGGAATCACTGAGGAGGAAGCAAAGCGAGAGTGTTCAGTTACCGTCACACCGTTCTCCCGTTCAACTAAAGTTCTCTCAATGTTAACTTACCTTTGTGTCATTCCAAACCTGTCTGCTGTTATTAATTATTTTCTTCTGTTAAACACAAAAAGAGAGTTTTACAGCGACTCTTTTCCATGCATGACTGTTCATTCATTATTAACCATGACTGAGTCTGTTACTGCTTCGAAAAGTCTTTACCCTTGTGGAAAAAAATGTGCTGAAAGGGGCAGTTCATCCAAAAATGAACATTTACTATTTACTCGACCTCAAGTGGATATAAACCATTTATGAGCTTCATTTTTATGTTGAACACAACAGAAGATATTTTAAAGGAGGATGAAAACCTGTCGACTTACATAATAGGAAAAGCACATCCAATGGAAGTCAATGGTTATCGTTTTTCAGCGCTCCCTAAAATGTTTTATTTTGTGTTTAACAGAATATAAAGCTTTGAACTCTCATAATATTGCATTAGTGAAATTGAAGACTATTTAATTGCATTAAAAGAGAAAACACTTGATAATATGTCTATGAAACGGCATCATTAAAAAGGTGTAATTACAAATATATTACTCATTTATATAGTATATGTCATATAAGTTTCAAAAGTATGACATTTTACCTTAAAACCTTGGCTTATTCATTCAACTGTTTAGTTTAACTATAATTAAATTAATTTACAGCACAGTTTTTAATAATAATACAAATATATAAATAAAAACTAAAATACAGTTGCATTTAAAATGATTCGTTGACTTTTAAAAGTCAGTAAAAACGTTGAGTCTGAAAATGATCGGTCGACTGATTTTTTTAAAGTAAAACCGATGCTTTTAAAGCGATTAGTTGATCGTACATTAAAAAGTGAGTAAACCCGTTGCTTTTAAAGCAATTAGTTGATTTTAAAAGTGAGTAAACTTGTTGCTTTGAAAGGGATTAGTTGATCATACTTTAAAAAGAGAGTAAAACCGATGCTTTTAAAGCGATTAGTTGACTACTTTTAAAAAAAGAGTAAACGTGTTGCTTTTAAAAGTAAATAGTTGACTAAACTTTAAAAACAGTGAGTAAACTTGCTGCTTTAAAGCGATTAAATGATTATACTTTAAAAACGTGAATAAAATTAATGCTTTTAAAGCGATTAGTTGACTATACTTTGAAAAAGGATGATGTTTTATTCATCCTCTACTTGTTCCAAACACAAAGGAAGCTATATTGATTTTTTTGTTCTTAAGTGAATGTCAAACACTGCTTTTTTACAACATCCTTCTGATTATCTTATTTTGTGTTCAGCAGATGAAAGAAATCCATACAATTTTAGAATTACTTACGGGTGAACAATCTATTTAAACACATTCGCCTACTGTAAGATTTAACATCAATTTAAAAGCTTGATGATGTTTTAAATTAATTACTCACTGTTTTTTCACAAGGGAAAATATATAACACAAGTTCTCTTTTTGTTTCTCAGCCCTTTTTATATCCAACAGTCATGATAAATATGAAAAGAGTGGCGTGAAGATTCATCCTTTGTGTTTTACAATCAAAATAACAGCATACAGGTTTGAATCAACATCATAAAAAAAGATGTGCTGCTTGTTCAAACTACATATTTAAAATAAGCTGAATCAACACAATTCTTGAGTTTTTTTTATAACAATTAGGGCTGCAAAATTTATCATTTCGCAATATGATCATTCGTAATAGTCACATCACAGGATATGCAATGTTGAGTTTGCATCACAATTTATTATTTGCATGTGTTTTTGAAGCCTGTGATTGTATAATGATTTTATAAAGCAGGTATAAGAAATTGTATTATTTGTGACCTTAATTACAAAAACGCACTGCAAATAGCACAGACCACAACGAAAATATTTCAGGGGACGCCAAAAAGTTTATAGATAGCTTATTAAATTTCATGGAGAAGCACTTCCACAGCAGAATCATCCCAATCGATCTAACATAACCTCTTTCCAAATAGAGATACTAAGATTTTAACTCTTTTAAAATAAATGGTATTCATATTGCAATATATATCGCAAAATAAAAAAATATCGCAGTTTTTCCAATATCATGCAGCCCTAATAACAACTATGTTCAATCCACTTTAAAATAACTTCATCAAATGTGTTAGGACAACATGAAGGAATTGTGTTGAACCCAGCAAAATTCACATTAATGCCTCACACAGGGCACACTGGGGACTTCACTATGCCAAGTGCGCAAAAAAAACAGAAGCGTCACACATGTTGAGGCACACACAGCAGCACATGTGCCTCACTTGCACGTCCACCCTAATCTGCACACCTCCTTAAACTGGCTCGCCATCATTCATTCTGACCCCAGAGCCTCCTGACCTGCAGACTGCCAGGGAAAAGCATGACCTCAGGCAGTGCGGCGCCAGGTTTCATGGCAGACACCTGACCTCTACCAGAAGCCCACCCTGCGTGAGCTCCTGCCACCCATGAATCTGTCACAGCCCCAAAGCCATGTGAAAAAACCCCAAGTGCAACCCTATTTATGATGCGGCCAATAACTGCTGGTTTTGCTGATGGCACCAGCTACGTTTCACCCAATGCCCTATCATTTTTCATTTATGGCCATATGTTTGTATCCCATATCTTTATTTAGCAAAGTGCAAACTCTCACGTGGTCTGTTTTGATTCGGTCGCTCTTAAAGGGATAGTTCACACACAATTTGTCATCATTTACTGTCAACATTTACTCTCAAAACCTGTTTCAGGTTCTTTCTGTGGTTGAGCACAAATGAAGATACGCTGTAAAAATACAAAATACAAGTGTTGGAACAACCTTTTAAAAAATTAAGTAGGTTGAACAAAACAATTAAGTTGTCGCCACAAAATAAAATTAAGAATTGTGTTGTTTCAGCTAGGCATGGGCCGGTAATAAGATTCTGAAGGTGTGATAACCTTGGATAAAAATATCACGGTTTCACGGTATTGTGATTACTGCTCTAAAACATTTTATTTTTAAATGTCTGGGAAAACACAGGGTTTCTGCAGGTTTCATCACGTCAAATAATAAGACTTTAATAAGACTTTTTAATACCTTTTTAAGACCATTATTGATGAAATGTCAGACTTTCACAGGGCAAAATGCTGTGAAATATATATTATTTAAATATATTATAAATATTCTGTAATAATCAGTGGATTATTATTAGTTGCCTAATTAAAATTCAGTTATTTCTTAGCCACATATTTTAAATAATGTGTAAAAACAAGCAAATTCTAACTATATACATACATTGTTATTAGCACAACCTTTGCTAATTTTAAAAAGCTATAAAAAAAATTATGCACAACATAAATTAAATGTTTTTAAATGTAATTTTATTTGCTAATGTTCAACAAATTATTGTCAGAATTCTGAGGTCTAAATCAAGGATAATATTTATTTTGAGGGTAACTACCTTTAACTTCTAGATTATTTTAAAATGCTATATAAAAACACATTTTTTTTGTGTCATTTATTTAATCGACACACACAATACTAATCTAAAAGTCTTATAAAAATCTAACCAAAACAGAATATTTTTCACAATTGCAATGTAGCATAAACAATATTAAATTTAAGACTATCAGAATGTCTTAGAGTTTTAAAAGCTTTAATAAACAACATTTATGCATAAAACATGGAGAACTTTTCAACAAAATGTTATTGTAAGGATGTAAGGAAGACAGTTAAACCATATTGCTAAATAGTTTTTTTAGATGGATTTGTTGGTTGTACTGATTGGCTATAGCTTTACATGGACAATTAGTGAAATTTTGACCTGTTTAAAAGTATTTAAGACCCATAACAGCATTTTTCAGTGAATTTTTTAAGGAATTAAATTTAGTTTTTGAAATTTAAGACATTTTTAGACCCTGGAAAAACTAAAACTTTTTTTCCCCCTTTGAGCACAATATAGTTTATTTTGAGAAACTTTTAAAATATTTTGCAGCTGTAAACATGTCAGGCTGCTGTCTTCATTTGTTTCAAAAATACTAGCTGAGTCCCAAATGGAACACTATGCACTCATGCACTATGTACTTATTCACTAACAAACTCAACAGGATAGTATATGTATGTAGTGTCGTCCCAAATGGCACACTTATGGTTTTTTACTAAGCGGAAAATCAAACCGTTTCCCTGATGACGTTTGACGGTCGCCAAATAAGGGAAATAAACGACCAAATTATCAAATAATACCTGCCATGAGTATAACCGCATTCACCATCGGGAGGCGCAACATGTGCGTCCGATAGCTCCGCCCCTTCCGCTACGTAAGCAAACGTGCGGTCGTTGAGTGCGTGAAGTGTCCATCATTACACACTTCATTTTAGCGGCTGAATGAGTGCATCATCCGGGTAATTAAAGTGCACTTATTATTTTTAGAGTTTTCAGTGTGAACACACTACTGGCACTATTTATTCTACAAAATGGCGCAGAATAGTGCATAAGTATGCGATTTGGGACGCAGCTACTGATTTCTTTACAATTTAAAATAGCATCTTTGGGTATTTTTTCTGCTGGCGATACTGTTTTCCTAAAAAGCTGGGAAAAAAGTAAATAAAAATATCTTACGGAGAAAATGTTGGCAGTTTTAAAACCTTGACTCTTCCAAACTGCGTTATACCATAAAAACAGTTATCATCCCATGCCTAGTTTCATCCAATTTTAATTAAGTAGTTTGTACACACAGCAAATGTCAAATTTTTGACAACATATTTATAGATCAATCATAGCTATCAATGGCTATTTTTTTCCCTCAGAATATCTAGTTTGATTAAATGTTGAGAAAATTAGATTTTTTTTGCGTGAACTATCCCTTTACCCAATAAGGTTCGGTCTCTGTTATGATGCAAATGTGCTTTAAACACTAAGCAAAATCCTCAAGCAGATGTTGTGGGAAAGTGAATGCGAATGGAAGCAGATGGGGAATGATGTAAAAATAACAATACGCGTTCACTCAGAAACGTAACAGGGACTCTATACAAACAACCTGGTCCACTGCTAACAAATAATTGTGACCTTGAGGACAAATCAGGAATAAATCATACAGTGTCTCTGTTAATAAACAAACACGGCCATGGTCAATGACTCCACACAAGGTTGCTTGCGGGCAGAATGAATTATTCACTTTGACGATCCTTTGCACGGCCTAATGAGGGTGGGAAATATCTCCTAATCTTGAGTGTCTAAGCAAATATTTATGAATGTTTAGTTTCAGCGTGATATTAGGTGGAGTGAGGGTTGCGTAACAAACGCACACACACACTACAGTGGGCGATTACCTGCCTTTTAAGTGACAGAACTTGAGATAAAAGCGAGAGTGTAATTACAAACACGTCCTCTAGGTGGTGCTGCTCTCTTTTTAGATACTTTTTTCACGTCATGAAAACTTCACATCATCATCTATGAAGAGATTTAAGCACATTTAAGGTGACTTACCATCATTTTTGCTCTTTCCCCCTTCTTTGGGTATGTGGGCAGCCTATCAGGATAGAGAAATGACAATTACATATAACAGAACACACAATAAAAGATATAGATTATTATTTATAATAATGTAATTATCTTTGGCATATTGCATTAACTATTACTTTCTTTTTTCACTTAAACTATACTATAACGTTCAGAAGTTATTAGATGCTTCATGGTTTACTAGGAAATGTGCACTGGATTACTGACTCTAAATACTCCCGTTGGCCAAAATAATAATCGAAGAAGGCACTACAGGATATTTCCTCTGGCAATGTTAGTTTTCTATGGTTTTAATTAACAAACTCGCAGTTTTGTCAGGTAATAAACAACAGATTCCTCTAGCTTGAGGAACTGCATGTTCTTCAATAAAATTAGCATCTGTTAATGGGCTAAAAACAAGAAAGAAGTGAGATGTCAGTTTACGAATGTGTGAAACTTGAGCATTTAGGGGTACAACAGCTTGTTTCTAATGCAGTGCTATCACTTGCACAGTTTTATGTATGTATAGCTTATCATATGAGCACTGTAGCCTGTGTGACACTGGACCACAAAACCCAGCCTGATCTCACGAGGAAACATAAGTATATTACGTTTTGTCAGTCTGATCTTACGAGGAAATGCAACACATGCATGCCCATACTCAGTCCTGGAGGGTCGGTCTCCTACATGTTTATGTTTCAACCCCAATTAAACACACCTGAACCAGCTAATCAAGCTCTTTTTAGGTATGCTAACACTTTCAGGTAAGCGTGTTGAAGGAAGTTGGAGCTAAACTATGCAGGATACCGACCCTCCAGGATCAAGTTATGACATCCATGGCTTAAAACATGGATCAAAATGATAATTTCCCCCCCCTTTTTTATCAAAAATCATTACAATATTAAGTAATTAATCTTGTTCCATGAAGACATTAGCAAATGTGGTACCATGAATATATACAAACTGCATTTTTTATTAGTAATATAGCAATGTCGATTGCTAAAACTTTATTTGTAAGACTTTAAAGATGATTTTCTCAATATTTGTATTACTTTTTAATCTTAAATTTCAGTATCTGAGCCAAATATTGTCCTAACAAAGTGTACATCAATGAAAACTCATTCAGCTTTAAGATAATGCATAAATCTCAGTTTCCAAAAATTGACACGTATGGTTTTGTTGTCCTGGGTGGTCCTATATTAGTATTTTAATGCATATTTAACTCAAACACACATACAGCAGTCATTATACTTATTTCACATCATTTTATGTCATGGTGGTACATTTAAAGAAAACCTTAAAAGGGCTTTTAAAATCATTAATGCAAATAAATAGTTTATTTTACAACAGAGAAACCTTCTATAATCTTCATAAGGGACCTTATTTGTCATTCAAAGAGGCTCCAGAGAGCCAATCATCTTCCAGCAATCCTTCAGACTATTCTTCTTTCCCGCCTACAGATTAGTCTCGCCATGGTGTGTGTGTGTGTGACCGGTTGCTGGTTGCTCGCGTTACTGCAGGTGGTGGACTGGCGCAACAACTCTCGGTGTTGCGTGAGAATCTCCCCGGTTTGCCTCTCTGACCATCTGCTACATATATAAGCAGACGTTTCTTGTTCTCTTATTTTCTGCATTTAACATTGAGACAACCACGACTGCCCGCCGAGGTAAAAATTTACCTCAGGCGAATGTGTTTCTTGACAGCAGACATGCACTCTCGTGCCACTATTCAAGTAAATGAATTAATTAGGCGGGAGACAAAGAAAAGCAGGATTTCAGGTAATATCTTGTTGTTATTCTCGTCAAGAGAGCATTGTGTGACAGCATCTTAAGTCTTAAAGCATCGCGAGCACAAGTGAAACGCCGAAAGTCGTTTTGTATCTCTATTGATGGCATTACTAGTAAGAAATAACCTCCTGGTTGATTCAGCACCCGGATGACGCGTTACTGCACGTAACATCTCACATATAGTGATATCTCACCAAATCCTTCGCTTAAGTGAGATTAAACCTTAGGATAGCAGCAGTCCCATACTATTGTTAGCCTATAAATATTCCTGTCAAAGCAGACAGCGCAACAGAAGGACCATCTCTGATTTAAGTGAAAACTTATGGTTAATATCCACATTATGAGTAACATGTTGTGCAATAGGAAGGCTTTAAAGGTCATCCATAGATGACAATAAAAAGATACAAGCTTGCTTTCTATTATAAGTAACATTAGGCTAATCGTTTTGAAACAAAGTAAGTAAATGTAAACTTTATGTAACTTATTGTAGCATATAAATGGTGTGGGCTATTGCATTTCGTCTTTAAGACGATCTCACGTTACACATTAATAATAAACAACCCCAATGCACATGAATTTCTCTCATTTCATACTGACCCCCTGAACCCTTACCTTTACAGCAGACAGATGGAGGAGAGCCGCGAGAAATAACTGTATCAAATAAACAACCAAGTTCATGATTGTAATTCCAGTGGAGTGTTGCGGTGAGTCTCTGGCTCTCAAAACAATTAAGAAAGCGAAGCTGCTGGGTATGAATGAACCGAGTGTGATATCGTGGGTCAAAGTAACACATCCATTCTGCCCTTCAGATCCGAAGCACCTGCGTCGAATCCGCTAAAATTAACTTCTGGACCGCCACCCGCTCCTCCAGAGAAAAAAAAAGGATATAAATAAGAATAACAATAATAATTATAATATAAAGAAAAGTGGAAATCCACACTATCTTGGTCCTCTGCGTAATTTAAAATTAAAATCCACAGTATAACGGAAAGCCGACGTTTAATGAATCTGAATCCAAAACGTCAGAGGCAAAACAAACAAAAAGTTTCGTCCACTTCCAAGCGCAGCCTCCAGTGTGCACGCGCGTCTATAGGGCCAGAGGACGGCTTCTGCGCATATGATTATCATCAAGAGCAAAGGCTTGCTGTAAAGTGATCCAGTGGCAATCCTTGGTTTGACCGCTGCACACGCGTCCGTTTTTTCCTCGTCTTATTTCCGTGACTGTTTTGGCTCGCGCTGGTTCGTACTGCCGTGGATGTTAACACGCGTACGGGAAGGTCTTATCACTTTTGCGCTCGCTCAGTCTATCAGCGCTTCTGCCGCTCAGCGCTGCAGGTCTTGAATCTACACAAGGCGGCCTGAGCCTGATTGGCCAGTGGGAGGTGACGTAGATGATGATGCTCTGTGAAGGGTTTGACTCTCCTCGTCAGGACTTATTTTACAATGTGCATGAAGAGACTTTATTTCACTCATTCTAAAGTTGCACTCACGTTAAACAGCTTTGGAATAATATTATTTTTTAATTATCGTCCTTATTTAAACATGATTTAAATTTGTCTATAACAGATATATTTCTGTTTTTCTCGGGTAAAGATCATGCTCTTGATCTTATTGTTAATTTTTTGTTACATTGTAATTTTTTTATACACAAAAATAAGTTCCTAAAAACAATACTTATTTAATACTTTCCTTTTTAAAATTTCGTACAATATTGAATCTCTTGAGCTTATTGATAATAAGAATAATACGTTTCTTAAAGCTTATGATAATCTTTATTCTTAATGATTGAGGCTTTGTAAAGTTTTTTTTCTTTCTTAATTTGTTTGTTATTGTATTTTTTCTTCAATGCAGTGATGTTATTATTCTTGTATTCAATAAAAGTCAGGACTTATTTTATGAAGATATGAAATAACCTACGCATAATTCCCATTGCATGTGGGCTATTCATCTTCATATACAGCACAAAATAGATGTACATTTACAAAATCTTTTGGATTGGATGAAATCCTCAGGATGTCTCAGACAGTCTGCATCTTTTTCCAATTTGAGTCTTTTATTATTAACAATATAAAATATTAAACATGAAGAGCTCAGATGCCAAAGCCTCTAAATGCCATCTGAATTTTCTTCTATAATGAGCATTTCTCGCAAACTGCTGTGTAGGTTCAGTAATTTCACATTTATAGTATTTAATAGGTTATTTTCTTTCAGTTGTTTGCTTTTAAAGTGAAATAACTAAAAATAAACAAGAGATGAGAGAAAAATTACAGATGTAACTATATTTTGGCTAGAATACATTTTAATGCATTTTATTTCGGCTAGAATAAAAGCAGTTCTTATTTTTTTAAATCCATTTTACGGTCAAAATTATGAGCCCCTTTAAACTGTTTTTTTTTTTTCAGATTGCTTACAAAACAAACCATCGATATACAATAAATTGCCTAATTACCCTAACCTGCCTAGTTAACCTAAATAACCTAGTTAAGCCTTTAAATGTCTCTTTAAGCTTTATAGAAGTGTCTTGAAAAATATCTAGTCAAATACTATTTACTGTCACCATGGCAAAGATAAAATTAATCAGTTATTAGAAATGAGTTATTAAAACTATTATGTTTAGAAATTTGTTGAAGAAATCTTTTCTCCGTTAAACAGAAATTGGGGGTTAATTAGGTTAACTAAGAAGGTTAGAGTAATTAGGCAATGTTCAATGTTTAACGATGGTTTGTTCTGTAGAGTATCATAAAATATATAGCTTAAATGGGCTAATCATTTTGACCTTAAAAATGATTTAAAAAAACTTTCTCCAGAAGAAAAAATATTATCAGACATACTGTGAAAATTTCCTTGCTCTGTAAAATATAATTTGGAAAATATATATATAAAAAAAAAAGAAATTCAAAGGGGGGGCTAATAATTCTGACTTTATACAGAGTTGAAGTCAGAATTATAAGCCCCCCTGAATTATTAGTGCCCTTGTTTATTTTTTCCCCCAATTTCTGTTTAACGGAGGGAAGATTGTTTTAACACATTTCTAAACATGATAGTTTTAATAACTCATTTCCAATAACTGATTTATTTTATCTTTGTCATGATGACAGTAAATAATATTTTACTAGATATTTTTCAAGACACTTCTATACAGCTTAAAGTGACATTTAAAGGCTTAACTAGGTTAATTAGGTGAACTAGGCAGGTTAGGGTAATTAGGCGAGTTATTGTATGATAATAGTTTGTTAGTGTATGTAGACTATCAAAACAAAAATTAGCTTAAAGGGGCTAATACTTTTGTCCCAAAAATGTTTTTTTTTTTAATTGAAAACTGCTTTTATTGTAGCCGAAATAAAATAAATAAGACTTTCTCCAGAAGATAACAATATTATCAGACATACTGTGAAAATTTCTTTGCTCTGTTAAAAATCATTTGGGAAATATTTAAAAAAGAAAAAAAAATCAAAGGGGGGAGAATAATTCTGACTTCAACTGTATATATATATATATATGTATATATATCAGTACATATAGGGTTTGGAAATGAATTGGCGACATTTTACTATAAGGTGTCATGCACTAATGCATCTGTCAATAATAAAAATGGTTATAAATATGATGACAAATGTATTGTTCAGTAAATAATATCAACAAACTCATTTTTTATTTTAATTATGTCCAAGTGATTGTGCAGGGAATGTTAAACAACAATACCATGCTTATGAAGGATGTTTAATTGTCATTTCATGTTGACTAATAGTTAACTAGTGCTAACAAGTATCCTATTAAAACATAACAAACAAGACCTTTGGTGTGGGTGAAAGAGTACAGAAACATACACACATACTGCGGTCAGCATTTGAAGGGCATCAAAAACTTTTATCAAAGTTGTGCTAAAACTATTCAACAACACTCATTCTTGTCTTAGGACAGTTTTAAAAATATTGACCACTATATATAGCTCTTTCCTAAGCGATGATTGTAGAGTTACAAAAAACATTGGCTAACTGTAAAGGCGTCACGCTGGAATCTCTGTGATAAACATATAAAATATCTCAATAATATTGACAGACTTCTAAAATTACACATTCATGCTCATGAACAACGCCCAGATTACATGTGAACTCATAAATATCTGTGTAAACATGAAATCGTTTTTCATTTACACACACAAATGTGCCTGTCTGTCATGTCCTCAGCGGTCACAGATACCTGTCCTTGGCAGTCCTGCATATTTGAAACCTGCAGGGAAAGAAAAAAAAATCAATCCCAGAGTACGGGGATGAATGACAATCTGAGCTGATGTTTACTCCCTCGCGGGCATGTAGGAAGTGGCAGGGGGTAAAACTGGGGCTTCCAAGTTCCCATGAGTGCAAGCTGCTGAGAAAATCTAATTCAGTCAGATGGCATACGTGAAGACTCAGGGATGGCGCCCCGGCAGAAAGACGGGAGGTTTAGACAGAGCTTCATTTCCCTTCAAAATCACCATGACCTCTTTCTCACACACACATACACTGTATTTTATACTGTAAAAACGCTTAGAGAGGCTCGACGCTATACCTAAAAAATTTTTTTTTAATTAAGAGGATATCAGGGTTGACCTCATAAACCACCTCAACATTAGCTATGTTTCCATCCAAAAATGCGAATAAACTTTATGCGCAAAACTGTATTATCGCATAAAAGTTGTGCGAATGAAGCATCGTTTCCATCCAACGACTCAAATTGAACAAAATCGTCACTTCCTGATTAACTGGCGCCAAATATCAACAGTAAAAACTGCATTTGCTGCAGTAAGAGAAGCTGCATCAATCTTTTCTAGATGAACGCGCCTCAGAAGACAATCCTGACAAGCAGTGAGCGCGCAGTGGCGTTTAAAGGTGTCAGACGCGGAGCACAGGCGCTCTTGATTCTGGAGGTCATTAATAATATAATAACATTAATACTGAAACGGTAAGGCGTTTTATAATGACCAAAACAACATTTCAGATGTTTTATAATGTGCTCAGCCTGACGTTTTACCCATTTACATACATTTTAAGCATCACATGATCTCTTTTAACAAAATCACATGACCTTTTTTAATGCGCATGCTGGAGTTTGTGCGGTAAAAGTGTTTCCATCGCAGTTTATGCGCATCTTTTCTTATCGAATAAAAAGTTTATCCTACCCAGTTAGGCGCATACGTTTTTTTATGCGCATTTTCAAAATTGATGCGCATCATGACGTTTCCATCAACTGTTTTTTTTTGCAAAATGCGCATAAAATAGGTGGATGGAAACATAGCTACTGTAACACCTACAGTAGGTCATACCTATGTCATTATACAAATTTGTGTTCTTATAAACCACATAAACAAGCACACACACACACACACACACACACTTGTACATATAATTTACGGGGACTGTAGGCTTAATGTATTTTATACTGTAAAAAAACACTTATTAAATGACTTTACACTACCCCAACTCCTAAACCCCTCCCTCACAGGAAACACTTTTGAAGCAGATTTTGAATGTGAAAAAAACCTGTGTAAGTACTACAAGGGCTTATATTATGTCCTCATAAACCACTTTAAGACGTTGTCCTAAAAATATGTAATGAGGCAGCTCAATAATATGCAATAAAAGCCATGTTTTCTATCTTAAAAGGTGTTTTTGTCCTAACCACCTCCAACTCATTTATTCATTCATTTTCTTGTCGGCTTAGTCCCTTTATTAATCCGGGGTTGCCACAGCGGAATGAACCGCCAACTTGTCCAGCAAGTTTTTACACAGCAGATGCCCTTCTAGCTACAACCCATCTCTTGGGAACATCCACACACACATATACACTACGGACAATTTAGCCTACCCAATTCCCCTGTACCGCATGTCTTTGGACTGTGGGGGAAACCGGAGCACCCGGAGGAAACCCACGCGAAGGCAGGGAGAACATGCAAACTCCACACAGAAACGCCAACTGAGCCGAGGTTCGACCCAGCGACCTTCTTGCTGTGAGGCAACAGCACTACCTACTGCACCACTGCCTCGCCACCTATGACAATGATCAGCCTCAGGTACTGATTATGTGCTGTATTCAGTGTTAATTGCTACCAATGTGAGTTTAAATACAATTTTTATGTAAGATGCATTGCCATACAGCTGAAAGCAGCAGCAGATAGTTCACCTTAGATCTTGAATGTAAGTTGACAAGCAGAAAATGTAAGTGATTCAGTGCGAACCACCTAAGCAGTCACCCAGTAGCCTATTAATAATGGTTTAATATGTATTAATTTTTTTTTTCTCATAACCATCTCCAACTGCAATGTGCAAAATTCCTATTTTAGAAATGCTTTCTATTTCTACA